ACTCACCTAACACGTGCATTAGTTTTTCAGCAAACTATCTTTTCAGGAAACACGTTACCATCGAAATTGTCTTTTAAAGATTAGAACAATTAGATCAAACACCAAACGACAACTTAAATAAGTGCGGCTTGCACTGATGAAAAACTTAATTGAACCGTAAACTTGATATCTCGGAAACTTAAATTACACCGATTGAAATTCCTCAGGGAACAGCCTAATTTTTTGTTCCAACCACTCTCGAAGAATGAAAAGCACTTTGGGTTCGGGTCGTTTTTTTACTACCTCAACGAAAAATTTCAGTGGGTTAAGTGTGTTATCATGTTACAGACCTTTTGGCTGTGTGTCAGAATCTTAAGAAAAATAGAAAAAGTTTCAGCGCCAAGAAAAACTGGTCTGAATATTTTTCAGTCTTCAGATTACTTTAGTCAGAATTTTGTTGAAATTGGCTGGCTCCCCATTTTAATTCAGCAACAATTTAATTGATGTCTTAGCAATTATTACTGCTAACTCTTTTAGATTTTCATCTAATTCAGTAAACATTAGCTTTAAAAAATTTGGCAATAAAATTAGAAACAATATGAAAAATTTTTTGGGAACAACAGTTTTTGTAAAAAATTTTCTTCTACTTCTTTTCTTGAATAATTGTAGTCGGAGCACTCTGTGCTACTTTACAGGAATTGGCTATCCTTGCAGGTCTTTCAATCTGAAAATTTTTCATCCACCAAAAACGAGCTGGTTTGCATTATGTCTTAACTGTTACAAAATTATAGAGAAACTGTACTGTCGATACTCAGTAATACCAGTGTTGACGTCCATACAGGAAAAAATCCTATCATGCAATGTCATATATGAAGACTATGGAAAACTGCTTGTCATACAATTTTCATAGTAGAAAAGTTGCATGATCAGAGGCGGATCTAAAAATTTTTCGGAGAAGATGGAGTGATTGATTTTCCGAGCCCTCAAAAATAACTATAAAGACCCCGGGTTGACCAAAACTTCTTATCATACAATTTCCATATATGAGAAACTTCTTGTCATACAATTTCATACAATTCCATACGTACAGAAAATTGTATGAAAACTCTATGATAAGCATTTTTCCATATATGAAAATTGTATGATAGGTGTTTTCCCATAAACCATAAATTTTGATTTTTTCTTTCTTAATTTAGTTTCTGAAAAACTCTCGGTTGTGTTTGCAACCGAACACAAGTGACAAAGACCTTGGTTACTCAAAACACCGAAGGTCGCACGGTCTTGCATTTACAATGCATAGAAAACGACCTGAATTTGGCTGTCTTTCACAATTCACATAACAAAAGTAACAAACCTTTAATTTTTGGCAAAATTTTTTAATGATGATTATTTTAAATTTTTGAATTTTCAATTTATCAAACATTGATCAAGTCATACATTAACACTCCATACAAAAGAAATAGGAATTTTCAGCGTTTTTGAAAAAAAAATTTAAGTGAAAAGAAAATAAAAGCCAATTTTATCGTATGCAGGACTACGTTATGCACACAAAATATTAAATTTTGCATGCAAAAAGAAATTTGCGAAAAATGTTTGCTTGCGTACGAAATTCGATTTGCGGTTGAAAAAAAAACAAAAAAAATTTTGGGCCAAACTTTCAAAATTACTTGAAAAATTTTTTGTGTCGCCATCAAAAAAATGCCAGTCATACAATTTCCATATATGGGAATTGTATGATAAGCATTTTTTTCAAAAAACGAAAACCTCAGTTTTTTATCACCAGACTGTTTTATTAGAATCAAACAGCCACAGAAATAAGTTTATACCAGTTTTCAACCATTTTTAGAAATTGTATGAAAATTGTATGACAAGCATTTTTCCACACACTTGATGTATGGAATTGTATGATAAGCTTTTTCGGTGTATGGAGGTCAACCCGGGACCCTATTTTGACCAAATTACCTGCGTCACAAGCAAAACTTTGAAAAACTTTGAAAATGTTATTTTTCAACTAATGTTATTTTTCAAAAATTTGAAAATGTTATTTTTCAAGGCAGAAGAAGAGTAAAATTTGTTTTTTTGAACGACATTTTTTCTGGCAGAATAATGTATATACAAAGACTATATTAGTAGCATTTACAAGTGATTGAAAATGAAACGACTATAGAATGCATGAGAGTTCTCAATTTTATTGCATGCACTACTAAAACATTTCTCAAAACTTCCACCTATTAAAGCATATCATCAAAGCATACCAGAGGCGCCATTAGAAAAAATTAGGGACCGTCAGCCAAAATGGATAGCCTAAAATAGTACAAAGGGAGGCCCTTTTGGTCGGCAGGGGGTCAAATCAATGAGTGTAAGGGCATCCGCCACTCCCCCCTAAATCCACTGATGTATATGGCAAGCATTTTTTTAATCAAAGCTTTTTTCAAAACTTATTTAAAATTGGTTTAAAACTCAAACAATACAAATTAGTTGAAGTTTTGGTCACATCAAAACAACTTTGGCATCGAAGAAAAAGTTTAATACATGAAAATTTGATGATATACTTTTTTTTCGATTCAAACTTGAAACATTACACATTCGAGGTAACTTTTGCTTATTCTATTTTTGATTTCAATTTTGCTTCTGTGCTCAAATCTACATGTTACGTAAAAAAAATTGAATGCAAAATTTGACATGTCAATAAAAATGTACTCCAGGCAAAGTTTTCACACAAAAAAAGATAAGCTTTTAAAAAGGTTATTTTTTCGTTTTCGTATGCTAAGATAATCATACTTATGTAAAAAAAAACAGGCCTTTTTTCTCAACGTAAAATCTTTTAGCCATATACAATCTCAGACTTTTTCAAAGTATAAAGTTTTCAAGCCATATATGTTTGTTTATGGAAAAAAAGCTTATCGCAAAATTTCATACTATTGCTACTGCTGCTTTTGCAATTTTCATTAAAAATTCCATAAAAAGTATGGCAAAAAGTTTTTAAATAATTCCCAAATTTGGCAAAAAAAATGCGTATTAGAAAATTACATACTATGGAAAAAATTGTTATTTTGCTTTTTTCATACAATTTTGCAGTCCATGAAATTGTATGAAAATCTATGATATACATATTTTACATTTTTTGTCGACCATATTTTAGCTGATTTTTATTCCAACTGCTTTATATTCCACCATTAACTGATACGTAAACAGCTTCGAAACTCACTTTTGGAGCAGTTGCATCATCTCTTTGTACTTGGCCTGCATTTCTTGTCCCCTGGGTTGTTCCATGAATCTAAAAGATTGCTCGCATGAGGGCGACGCTTTGATTTTTCCAATTATAGTTTAATGTGTTTTTCCAACTATACTAGCATTTTTTCAAATCCTCCACGCGCAATTTAAAGAGCACTAAAAGATACATTTGATACCTTGAAGGCCCCGATTTTATTTCTTTTGATTTTGGAGCCAGATTAGTTGGCCTGGCCGCCTACGACAAACGTGGATAAAAATGGAAATTTTGCGAGTAGTAATCATCCCAAATTGCGCAACTTGGAAGTTTTCAAACATCAACAAGACTGCGCGTATCAGGGCGAAGCCCTGAATGTTCCGACTGCCTTTTAAGGTTTATGGAGCAGTAATAACATAAATATCATTAACATATTAAATGTAATAAAATAAAATGAAAATCACTGGAAAAATTACACATATTCTTTAGTTCCACATGAGCTGAGAAAGCAGAGTTGTGCATTAATATCAACTTTTTGAGAAAATTTTTTAGAAAAATTACGTCCGCAAAATTATTTTCGTTACAGAGAAGCAAAATGGAGTTCCTCGCAACGTGTAATACATCAGAACCAAAGCATTACAAGCTTGACGATACTAGTGTAGGTTTGAACGTTCGGTCAACGTAATTTACATCGGTTACTTACCCCAATTTATTCACCGCTTCCGGTACTGGAGTTTCAGGGATAATTATCCAATATGTAAAATTTTCATCGTCAGTCTCTATTAGATTCAAAAGTAATCAAATATAATTGTTAAAAAATGGATGATAGTTCAAATTTTCTCAAGTTAATACAAAACGTTTCAATCTGTTATAATCAATTAAAATGACTTAGAATCAATTTTTTGGTAAATTTTTTTAAATTTTAAAACACAGTGCAGTTTAATTGGAACTTAACGGTTGAAATTTAAAACGCAGTCAAATACTGCTAATTAAATAGTCAAAAGTTTTCTGGAGGAAAAACTATCCAGGACATACATTTTGCGTCCCTCTCCTTAAAGCCGGAAAAACGGAAGCACATCCCTGCACCGGATTTCCTTGGATAATAGTCGATTATATTTAAAATAAAGTCAAAAATATTATCATTATAATCCATTAATGATCCAAATTTATACCATGAAATCGATTATATTGTCATTATAATCGGTTGTTTCCGTAAAAACAAAATCCAATAACATCCATTATAATGGATTATAATCCTTTTAAAATCCATTAAAAATGATTATAGAGGATTATAATCTCTACAGTTTTTGCAAACTCATTTGCAAATTTGCAACATTTCTGCGTTACGCAAGTCCTCCTCGCCATCTAAAACTCTCATCCCATCATTTTTACCTATTTACACCCCTCTACTTGCTTCGAGTGTTGCCCCGCCCCACACACATCCACATTTACCTCCCCGACATTTAACCACTCCCCCTGCGTTTATCCTTACGCCCACCCCACGTCCACCTACGCATGTTTACTACGCATGTTTACCAAAATTCGCACGTCCCCTATGCACGTCTTCTACGCATGTTTAGCAAAGTTTACCACCAATCCCAACACCCCCCCCCCCCCTCCCGTTTACTATTGAGTGGGGGAGATGGGGTTACTCAGCGTATACTCCACTTCTCTACCATCATTCTTTAGTTTAAACCCCCCCAAGTTTTGTTTAGCACCATCTACCACCGCCCCGTCCTACCAAAAGGGGGGGGGGGGTGAAACCGAGGAAGGGGTTTTGTGTGAGGGGTTTGTAGGTGATGGAGCTTAAAGGGAGAGGTGATGGAACTTACGTTGTGTCAAACCCCTCGCCCGTTTAACCAATTTCATCCCCTTCCTTCAACTATAAAATACCCAGGGATAATAATCCATTATGTTATTTTTTCATCGCCAGTCTCTCTAAAACTCAAAGTAATCAATTATAATTGTATAAAAGTGGATGATAGTTCAATTTTTCTCTTGCTAATACAAAAGAATCTTTTTTTCAAAACTTTAATCACAGTGCACTATAATTGGAACGTAACAGTTGATTTTCTTTTAGTATACGTCACATCAGATAAAGCGAGGTTCTCATAAAAATTGATTTCTCATTTTTTGCTGATCATCATTTGCTGTACCTGATCCAATTTACGTCCCTTGCCGTCCCTCCTGCAAGTGGAATCCCCCTCCTTCGCGTTTACAACCCTCCCCTCCGCTCACACCCCACCTCCCGTTCCTCTCCACACACCCGTACACGTTTTTACCTCCCTCTTCCCACACTTACAACTCCTTATTATGGTTGATTTGTAAGTTATAATGGCAAAATAATTGATTTCATGGTCTAAATTTGCAACAATAAGAAATCATAATGACAGCTGATTAGATAAAGACTTTCCACTATTATCGATTTTCATCAATGAAACTCCGGTGCGGGTTTAGCGTAGTAGGAACTCAATATATCGCGAGTTAATTATCGCAAATAGGCCCCAAATTAGAAATATTTAAACCCTCAAAAATGTGCAAAAATAAACACAGGTTGAGCATATTTTAAATTTTGAAGGACAACATTATATTTCAAACTGCATAAGAACTCCGTCAAAAACTGCTAATTGAATAATCACAATTTTTCTGGAGGAAAAAAAACTACGCAGAACACGCACTTTGATCCCCTCTCCTTAAAGCCGGAAAAAAGAAAGTACATCCCCGAACCGGAGTTCCCCGGATGATAATCGATTATAATCAAAAATAAGGTCTAAATGTTATCAGCGTAATCCCATATTGATCCAAATTTAGACCACAAAACTGATTATATTGTCATTTAAAATCCATTATAATTGATTATAATCTCTATACTTTTTTGCAAAATTGTTTGCAAATTTGCAATTTTTCTGCGTCACGCAAATCCTACTCGCAATCTAAGCCTCCCATTCCACCACATTTAACCATTTACAACCCTTCAGTTGTTTCGAGGTTTGACCCCCTCACACTCGCACCCAAATTTGTTCCCCCCCCCCCCCCCCCTCATCCACATTTGCCTCCCATGCACTTTTGACCCTCTCTCACACCCACATTCAACTACGGCTCTTTTTCCTTCCCCCCCACCTCACACTAGCTTCAATATATTAGTGTAACGAATAGTTTTACGAGATTGAGTATGAAGACCAAATATGTTTGTCGTAGCCTTATTAGTCTGTATGTAAATTTTCATAACAATCGGACAATGTGGTCAACAAATTTACATGTAAAAAATTTGCAGGTGGGGAAAAGGAAAAAGAGCTTCAACTACTCCTCCTACGTTTATCCCTACGCCCACCCCACGCCCACCCCACGTCACACTACGCCCATCCCCATTTTTACACAAGTTTACCAAAAACCCGAATAACACCACACCCCCTCCCCCCCCCCCCCATTGCTATTGAGCGGAGGAGGTGGGGTTAATCGTTAATCAGCGTAGACTCAGCGTACCCCCTCCCCTCCACAAGTTTCGTTTACTACCCTCTACCAGCGCCCCCCATAGTGGCGCCAATATATACTAATTTTGAGGGCTGAGTTCGCGCCGAAAAAACGCAATTTTTTGGTCAAAATTTTCCAAAAATTGACTAAAAACGCCTTTTTGGCCTGTTTTTCAAAATTTTGCCTGCGGCGCAGAATTTTGGCTCAAGTAAGTGCTTCTATAGTGAATTGGAAGACCTCCGAAAATCAAATTGGTTCACCTAATAAAAAGGTCAACAAAAGTTTCAAAATCCGCCCCCACCCCCCTCGAGAAATTTCTAGATCCGCGCCTGGATAGAGGCGATGGAGCTTACGTTAAGTCAAACCCCTCCCCGCTTAACCAAAATCCTCCCCTCCCTTCAATCAATGATTAAAAAAGTGAGTGCGAAGAGGTAGAGGGGAGGGGCCAAATGGCGGTTTTTTACTACGGTGATGGTAAAAAATAACAATTGAAAAAAGTTTAAACAATAGACCAAATAGAACAATTAGAGAAAAAAATGATCATAAGAAATCTTCTGTTAAAAGTAAAAAGCAGGAAAGGAGATAACTTTTAAAAAAAATTGCAAAGTTGATAAATAACCTCAATGATTGCATTCTAATCGACTATAATCGATTATAATGGATTATATTGATATAAAAATATATATATATATATATATAGTGAGAATAATACCTGACAATATAATACTACTATTCTCACTATTACCTGAATTCTCAGTTGAAAAAACACAAGCGCAAGTGCTCTGTTTATCCATCAAATTCATCAAGGTGAGTCAGTTTGGAAAAAAATGAACCGAATTTTGGTGACGTTTTTTGATAACCCTTTTTGAAGCTGGAAAAAATTGAATGCACCAAACTCACATTACCTTTTCCTTTTCAAAAATAAATGGTTGTAATGAATTCAACTTTTTTTGCAAGAAGGAGACTTAAAAAGAGATCGACTGAAAATTATTACTAACTTTTTCATATCGGTTCTCCATTCATCTCTGAAACATAGAAAAGCATTTTACTAATTGAATGATATCTCCTAGTCCAAAGTTATCCTTGATATACATGAAAGGCAAAAAAATGAACTAATGGGGACATAAACTAAAGCTACATTGTTTTAAGTTTCACGCTGGATGCGAACTTACTGTTGTTCTGGCTGGCAGAACATGTTGTATGGGCGAGAGATGCGGGCGCAAAGTTCCCTCGCCCACTTGACCTGTCCAGCTACTGAGGGAAAATTACGCTGCACCGGAACACCGTTGGGATTACTAGCCCTGGTCTGCATCTGCGCATCATACACCAGCTTCACCCGATCCAGCTCAGCACTGAACATCTTGATAGTGACTGGCAAGCGACTCTGTACGTCCAGTTGTATCGCTGGTCTATCCATTACATTTCCAAAGCAGTCCATCATCTGAGCAAACATAGTATTTAAAAATTATATTAGTGGGCGGTGACAAAATGGTTGATAATCAGAAACTGCTCTGTGTTCCAAACAAGAGTCCCCTTTCCGAGTACTGATTTTAACCAAAAAATGGCAACTCACCCTCCTAGCATGAAAATCCCCTCTCACTATTTTTCGAAGTGGGTACAGACTTGGGTACAAATGGAAGTTGTCTACATTTGAAATCGAAACCAAAACGGATGTCAAACACTTAAACAAAAGTCACTGGATGAAAACTAACAATTTATCTGGTTTTGATACTGATTGAGAGTTTTCCACTGCATCGCAGAAGGAAGCACTGAATTATCAAAACTTTTCCGAAGGTAAATTTTCAAAACTCAAATTTGGAAAAGTACACCCCCTCTTATTAAGAAATCCCTCTTAACGACGCCAGAATTTAAAAAAAACCAAGCCCCCCCCCCCCCCCTCTCATTTGGAGCCAGAGAGTAATGAGCCTTTTTAGTAAGTTATTTCACCAAATATGCGGCCTTGTCTTTTTTGACTTGGAAAGCTAGTTTTATATCTTTTAAGTCAGCTGTCAATACAGCTAAGACTAGTGAAACAAACTCGCGCGCTAACTTCCCTGAAAGTACTAACATTAAGATAAACAGAACTGAAGGGTAAAAAATGAATCTAAAACATTACCGCAGATTGAAAAAAAAATACCTTGAAAATGTCTTCAACATTGTCGAGATCGTCGAAACCCTGACAAACAAGCGACCCCAAATTTCGGTCTAAGTCTGCCATCTTTTCCTCAAACCGTTGTAGATCTCTGTCGAATAGCTGAAACATACCAGGACAAGGTTATGGATCACCACACGCCTTCTAATACTGATTAAAAAACTAAAGCGAATATTGATTTCTGCGAAGCTTATATATTTCAAGCATTTGGGTTTGGCGAGTGACTGTGACGAAGTTTATCAGTTTACTTGAGCGGTGAAATAGCAAAAAGAAAGAGTGATTGTGAGACAAACGTGGTTGGTGGGATCGAGGTTATCGTAGTTGTTCTCCGTGAATATCTTGAAGTGTTGCTGGAATGCCTCGTACACTCCCCCCACACTCATGGACAGCATCTTCCCATTCACCCCACTCAACTCCATCTTCTCCAGCTTCAGAAACTCGATCGCCATTTCTATGATGCCCTGAAACCAGCAAGCAACACTCTACTCGTCATGAACTGATCAAAAGATGTCCAGTTGAAACTAAAGCTGCCAAAACTGTAGAGTTAATCCTAAGCATTATTCCAAGCTAATTCTTCATCGTTTTACCTTTACAACATGAAGCCGTTGGAGAAAAGCATCAAACTTGTAGAAAACAAGTTCATCTGGGAAACTCCATGCTGCAGTCGCAGCTTGTTCGCCATCACTGTTGTTCGTGTCAGTTGTATTCTGTTGTGGGTGCGCGGCTGCGAACATCTTGGCCACCCTGTGCTTGGCATATTGGGCGTAAATGGATCTGAAGTATTTGAGGATAGAGATGGCCTTTTGAATCTTGTGGATGGTCTCCTCAATTTCCCCTTTGAACACCTCGAACGGGTCCAGAAACGATCGACACTGCAATAAAAACAGTGCAGACACAAATTATCCGGACAAAATGAACAAAATAGGAAAACTTAAACGTGTCTGTCTCAAAATGGGTTGAGGTTAGACAAAAATGAAGAGAACAAAAATTCCTTGCATTTTTACCAAACTCAAAATTGTGCAGTTTTTGGAAAAGGGTCATTTTGGTTTCCTTTAATCAATCAAGAATTACGCTAATTCTTGATTTTCAATTGATGAGCAAGTTATATCAAAGTATACATCTTACACAGCTAAGTAAAATAGTAGGAGGGTAAAATTTTTCGAAAAGGGCAAAGTTCTAGAAAAGTAGGGCTTACTTTGAAATATTTTGCTCATCAATTGACTTGATGGTCTTAGCACAATTCTTTTTAGAGACTTGATAAAAATTAGTGCAAGTCAAAATCTTTTTCTTTTCAAAACTCTACTTCCGCCGAAAAATGACGTATTTGCAACTGTTTTAATGATAAGCCATTCAATCATCATCATCGTCATCATCATCATCATCATCATCATCATCAGCATCATCATCATCATCATCATCATCATCTTTAAGTTTTACACTATCTTCTGGTCTACGCTGATAAGTGTGTATTGTCCAGTTTTAGTGTTAGCCAGTCTGGTTTCTATCAATGCAGGAGAGAAAAAAAATCGCCAAAATTATTATTTTTTTCATGCACAGAGCTTGAAAGCGGCCATTGCTGATTCTCCGTGCGAATGAACTTGCCCTAGAATAATGTTAAATGTGCATAAAGCCTGAGGAAGCCATTGATGCAAAGCCTAGCAACAACTTGTTGTTCCGACTTTCAGTAAGGGAAAATTTGTGCTCGGGGTGGGTTTTTCTTTCTTCAGACAAATTTCGACTTTTTAACTAGCCATTTTTGACGGAATTTTTTAATATCATTTGAAAGGTATTGTTGTCCTGAGCTCAAATTTGAAAATATATTTCACCTGTGATCATTTTTTGTACAGTTATGAAGGTTTAAAGATTGCCATTTTGGCCAATTTGGGACAATTAACGCGCGATATATTTCGCGCTATTAACGCGTAAGCGGAGAGTTAATCCGTCTTAGAAATCGTTCCAAATTGGTTAAAAGAAGCTTATTTGCCATAATTGGTTTGTTACAAGGAGCGAAATCTATCCTTTTGTACTTTATATGGCGTGTGGGGGGATGATTTTCATTAAAAAAATTTCAATTACTTTTATTACTTTTAATTTTTTAATGATATTACTGCTCCATAAACCTTAATCGGCAGTCGGAACATTCAGGGCCTCGCCCTGATACGAGCAGTCTTGTTTCGATTTGAGGTCAAAACCTGAAATGAGTTTGTTGATTTCAAATTAAGGAAATTGAGGTTCTGCCCTGCTGGAAGTTTTCATGAATAAAAACTCAAGTATGTCCCTGTCTGTAATAATTGACTGTTAATTATAAAGCCAGCTAGTTTGAATCAAGCAATGACTATTTGAGTTATCTTATAAATTTGAATGAGCAGTGCGATTTTCCATTTTTTAAATCCCCTTTGGGTACATTTTTCTAGTTTGTTTCGCCTTGAAGCACATTTCCTTTATTGTTCCGACTTTCGATACAAAAGTAACGGACTATTTGTGCTCGGGGTGGGTTTTTTTTTCTTCAGACAAATTTCGACTTTTTAACTAGCCATTTTTGACGGAATTTTTTATATCATTCGAAAGCTATTTGTGTCCTGAGCTTATATTTGAAAAGATATTTCACCTGTGATTATTTTTCGTGAAGTCATGAGGGTTTAAAGATTGCCATTTTGGCCATTTTGACCAATTTGGGAGAATTAACGCACGATATTTTTCGCGCTATTAACGCGTAAGCGGAGATTTAATCCGTCTTAGAAATCGTTCCAAATTAGTTGGAAGAAGCTTATTTGCCATAATTGATTTGTTACAAGGAGCGAAATTTATCCTTTTGTACTTTATATGGCGTGTGGGGGGATGATTTTCATAAAAAATTTCAAATTTGAGAAATTTTTTTTTTCATTTTTATTACATTTTATTAAACATTAAAAGACAGTCGGAACATTCAGGTCTTCGCCCTGATACGAGCAGTCTTGTTTTTTCTTGATAGGCGTTTAAGATCACTATGAACAATAACGGCAAAGCCTTTGATCAATTTTTGAAATAATCCTTGAACTTATCAACCAACTCTTTATCGGCGGCACATTTACAGCATTCTTGGTCTGTTTTAGTAAGTTTGTCCTTAAAATGAATGGTTTTTTTGCGAAAACAAACTTTTGCTTTTCTGCACTTCATGGAACAGCAGATTTCTGTTGTCACAGGTCGGATTTTTCCTAAAAACCTTTCAAATTATCATTTTTTTTGTTTACGGATTTGGTCCTTAGTGTCAAAGAAAGAAAAAGTTTTCTCTCTAATTTTCTTGGACTTCATGGGATTTTCATGACCACTGGTTGTGTTGAAAATTTCTACAAAAGCAGAGCATTGATCATTGATGCCAAGAATGATTTGGTTAAGAGGGAGATTTTTGTATTAACTATTTTTCAAGTTTCTCCAATGCGATATTTGCCGTTGAGGTTACCATTTAAATGAGGTGATTGACAATACGCAAATAAAACAAGATAATAGTCACTGAAGATAACTTTCAGAGATCGTAATTCAATTAATTTAATTATAGTTGCTGACTACTAGGTCAACTATGTGATGTTCATAGTGAGTTCTGGAGTCGACGAATTGAGTCAGATCAAAACCACCTAGCCTGTTCCCTCATTGTTTTGAATTTTAGACAATATTTGTTGATGGATACATCAAGGTCGCCGAGCATCAGAAAAAAGTTTCTATCGAAAATGCCTAAGTTCGTTTCACCATAACAGCTCTGTTAAAGCCTTCATATATCCGTTTACAATCTGCATCTCGAGAAAATTTTGTTTTGCAAAGTCCAGAGAATTTTTTTTGAGCTCAAAACACTTCGCGTCTTTCGCGTGAATAGAGACGAAGTACTAAACCTTAGAACTACAATGAAAACAAGCGCTGAATGTTCAGATTTTGCATTAACGTATCTGAACTGATATTCATTTTGAAATAATTTCGTTAATACTTCTTCTATTTTAGTTTCTTCTACCTGATATTTCGAAATTGAAATGATGCACAGAGGCGAAGCAGAGCTTCGTATAATATGCAATACGAAGAAAAAAATATATATAATGAAAAAAAAACAAATATTGAATTTCCTCCGTATTTAAAATTTCATGGAAATTTCAAAAACACAATACACCCAGAACAAAATACTATAAATGAGATCAACTCTTGTCTGAAAAAAATTGGCTCAAGCATTCAAAAAATTTCCTTTTGCAAACACGAGTACTCTAAATTGAAAAGAAGCACAAATTGAATGATCAAAAAATGAACTGGAAAAACATACGTCATTTAGTTGCGCGCATCCAATTTAAAAAACGGTTTTTGATCTAACACCCCACTCCCATCTCGCCTAGTTGCTCCTCTGATAATCAAAACGTACGTCTACAATCTTCATTAAAACCTAGTCAGCCAAACAAATAAAACGTACACGAATTGAGCGGAAAAATTGAGCTGAAAAACTTGAGTCATTTAGTTGAACTAAATCGTTATTGTAACGATTTCCGAAGAAAGTGAGGATTTTATCCCGAGACGAGGTCTGCTACTCATGTTGCGACCGAGATGGGTAGCCGAAATGGACTTTCTGCGACCGCAATTCCATACTACCGAAAGAGGGTTGAGGTGCACGAAGTCGCAACATGGGTCCCACAAATTCGCAACATAGCTAAAATTAGGTCGCGCAAAGTCGCAACATGGGTCGCGCCAATCGCAACTTGGGTCGCGCAAAGTCGTAACGTGTGTCGCGCAAAGTCGCAACACGGGGCGCTCAAAGCCACAACATGGGTCGCGCAGAGTCGAAACATTGGTCGCGCACAGGGGCAACATGAATTGTGCGAAACATTAGACGCATTGAGGGTCGCGTAAAGTCGCAGCATGAGTCGCGCATCACAAAAAGTTTCTAACAAAATTAGATACTTGCTTGCTTGCATACTTTTCTTGCTTGCATAAGCGTAATACAGATGCATACTGCAACATAGTCCAGTATAAATGAATTTTTAATGTGCAGTTAGCTGGACCAACAAATTTGCTAATCATATACAGGACCTCCTAATTTTTTGGGGCGAGAAAAGTTGTAACATATCTGTTTTGAGTCGCGCAAAGTCACGCAGTTTTCTCCGGTCGCACAAAGTTGTAACATAGCAATTTTCAGTCGCAATGATCGCAACGTACCTAATTTGGGTCGCACTATACCTACCCATTTTGAGTAGCTATGGTCACAACTGGATATACCCGGGGTGGTTTTTTTGTTCACACCAGTTTTTAGAAAAATTGAATGCGAATGGGCATCAATAGGTAAATCTTGTGATTGCCAAGCAAGTTTGCTTGCACATGACTTAAGGGTGAATTTGCGGCTGGAATAATACTTTAATATTTTGTTTCAAAACGCGAATAATTTGTGCTTGGCAAATTATCTGCACTCATAATTGTTCCAAAATGAATTGAGGCAAACTATTTCGCCTTATTAGTTCCATTAACAACTCAAATTTTAACATCTCGATATTATCAGCCTAGAATTTGTAGAGCGTCAATATTTCATACAGCAAAAACGATTCGAGACCAGTTAATCGGGACGCCTCCCCCAGAGATTCTGTCCTCAGCCGTTTCAAAAGGTCGCCCCTTTGCACTATTTCTTTCGCACCATTTTCGATACATCACAATCATAGTATGGCAAAATATTCGATAGGAAAGCTAAGAGAAACCTACTTAGTCGAAAAAACTGTTTGAGGGAGAAACGAAAAATAGGTCTATCAAATAGGTCTATGTTCGAAACAACATGTCAAAAAAATTTGCTAGCTGTAAATAAGCATTGAAACAAAACTGCTGATTGGGTAACTATGCCAACAAAACTTGCAAAGGCGCTCTTGAGCCGGAAGTAATTGTTATACAATTTTTCGATCTGTATGAAATTTGATTCCCAAAGTTTTCAAGATTTTCAAGCCCTTCAGCACAAACATGAAGGAAAACTTAGTATCGAGCTTCGAATGACACAGTTTGAGTCGACTAAGACGATATAAAATTATTCGAGAAATTTTAAGCAAGACTAACTAAACAACTTGAGCAAAAAAAAACCAAAAAGATAATAGCTGGCTGCTGTGCGAGTAGCACAGAGTGTTCCGACCATATGAAAAAAAAATACAAATAAAAGTTCTTCAAGTTTATAAGTTTTTCGACTTAGTGTCGTTTTTTGCGTTTTTTTTTGCGCGGGGTATGATGAAAAACTAAATACACGTCTAAAAAAAGTAAATTAGGCATAAACGACAACAGTTGTTTTCAAATGAAACAAGGACATCCGGTTACTGTGTAAGCAGCACAAAATGTTCCGACCACAGTCATAGAAAAAAACAAAAACATTTTTTTAAATTAAGTGTTTTTTTCCATATGTCGTAAAGAAGACATCTCAACGAAAAAATAACTTAGGCTTAATTGCCGGGGATATTAAAAAGGCCATTCGGAAAACAGGAAACAGTTTTTGAAAAAAATTGACTAAAAACTTTTTTTAAAAATAGCCCAAATTTTTAATTTTTTTGCCAAAATTTTTGGTATTTTTAACCTTTGTTTTTTTTCAAAACTGTTTTTGGTCAAGTAGGTGCCATTTAAAATTTTCAAAACTAGTTTTCCTTTGAAACAATTAAGTTTTTTTCTGTTTTTGCACAAGTTATAATCCCTTCAATCGTTCGACTTTTCTGTTTTTTGCACAAGTTATCATCCCTTCATTCGTTCAATTTTTCTGTTTTCGCACAGATTTTTCTGTTGTTATCGACCTTTATTTCGTTCAATTTCTTTAGACGAATTTAGACTAAAAGTCAAAAATTTTCAAACCGGTTTTTCTGGAAAAAATTTTTGTTAAAATTTCGTCCAAATTATAATTGAAAGGGTTTTAATATGATATGTCACTCAACCCAGTCTGATGATTGTTTTTAGGTACTTGATTTTGCGTGGAAAACGAAAAAAAAACAATAAAACACACCCAAATACAAATTTTTTTACCATTTTCAATAGTCGGAACAATTACTAAAACTGAAATTATAAAAATTACTAGATTGGTTACTAAAATAGTCGCTTGAAAAAAACTTACCTGAGCATAATATCTTGTTCGATTACTTTCTTCAAAGGTGGAAACTATTCACTAATTGCAGGTAAAAAAAATTGATTGTTAATAAAAAACATCAAACCATATTTATTCGAGAGCAATAACAAAAAACTATGATCAACCGCCGAAAATGGACTTGAATTTTGAAAACTATCCAATCATTAACTTATTAAAAAATTTTCTCTGAAGATAGCATTGTATGAAACGATGGTATAGATGTACAGAGAATGAGTTCTCTTAGAGCACTAACTGGTTCTTTTTACTTTTCACCCACCTACAAATTTCTATAATTCAAATTGGCTCTTTTTCCTTCCCCCCCCCCCCCACCTGCAAAGTTTTACAATGAAAAATTTGTTCACATTGTTCGATTGTTATGAAAATTAGCATACGGACTAATAAGGGCATGGCAAACATATTTGCTCTTCATAATTAACCTTGTAAAATCACTCGTTACACCATAAAATTGATGCTCGTGTGAGGTGGGGGGGGGGGGGGGTGTGGAAAAAGAGCCTTTTTTGTCCAATCGTCATGAAAATTGACATGCAGACTAATTAGGCCATGACAAACATTTTTGGTCGTGATAATCAACCTATGTAAGACCACTCGTTAAACCATAAAATTGATGCTCGTGTGAAGTGGGGGATGGAAAAAGAGCCCACTAAGCAACCCAAAATTGCCAAAATTGTCTAGTCCGGATGATAAATTCTGAGAAAACCTGGATTTTGTTCTGCACGTGCGTGTAGGCAAAAAACTACTAAAAAGAGGAGTTGAGAACATGTATCTTGTGATAAATTTCATTAGCACTGTTGTTATTTTAAAATTTATTAATGAAATGCTGACAGTTCAGTTGAGCAGTTCTGTTTATATTTCTTCTTCCTAAGCTTTCCGAACCAATTGGATATTGGAGATAAGAAAAAAACTTTGGCGATAGAGGGTGAAGTTGTTGAGGTGAAGTTGATGAGGTGAAGTTGATGATGTGAAGTTGATGAGGTGAAGTTGATGATGTGAAGTTGATGAGGTGAAGTTGGTGAGAAAAGTGTACTCGCCATGGACAAAATGAGGTTGCACATTTCCTGCAGCACCACAATGATTCTTCCAGGGGTGCGATAGTGGCGAGAGTGGACCCAGATGAGGGCAAGGGTGTGCATGCAGGCTTTCAGGTGTGGCCCCATATCTGTGAAGTCCTCCTGCTGCATACTGTCCAGTTTGAACTTGAGCGGCTTCAGATGCACTGAAATGTCTCTCGCTTCCTCGATGCCTGCCAGAGCAAACAAACAACATTAAGCAGTTGATTAATTTCATTCACTTTCAAACAAAACCAGTTAGTTGAAAAACATAACGGAAAAATTAAAGAGTTTGTTGATCTGATCTCAAGTAACAGCTGTCAATTTTCTAGCCCAATTTTGTTCCGACCGTTCTTGTAGAATGCGAGGAACTACCGCGTTACCTGACTTCACTGGAAGCTCGTAGGGAATTAAGTGCGAGGCCCATGTGAACACAATCTTACACCCCCCCCCCTCCCCCCTACATAGACCAAGTGAACGATCTACCCCCTAAAATTAAAAGACAAATTCGAGCAATAAGGCCTGCATGTCCTATGCTCAAATCTAATTGACTGAAAAATATTACTTTTAACCAAGCAAACTATCTCCCTATTTTGATTGGGGGGAGAGAGATAGCTCACTCACTTGTTCACTTGGTCAGCTCACCGTTTCCAGAAAAACTGACCTGAATAAATCATTTTTGGACCAAATACCAAACTTAGTTTCATGTAAGGTTGTTCTCGTAATATTTTTTTCAGAAATGTTTTTCGCTGAAATTTTTTGTGAAAATAAATCACAAAGACTTTTCAGCACTAGTTAACGTGATTGGAAATTTCTGTATTACTTGCAAAGCATTCTGGTGTACGTGTTTACGTATGCTCCGTTTCCTGAGATTAGAATTTTTATTTGAGCCTAACAATTCGAGGAAATTTTTAAGTGGTGAAAAGTAGCGGAGGCACGCGGCGAAATCAATCATAAAAGAGTGAATCGAGTACTAGTAACCTGATTCAACTTGGGAGTAGAGGGATTGGAGAGAAGGGTAGTAGGCGCTGTCGTGTTGCTTCAGTACCTCTCCCATCTCCACCATGTCGGGCTTCGACATCTGAAAAGAACCCACAAAACAATTAGACTTGAACCCACAAAATATCAACCACATTTGAAAATACCTCGGAGCTCTCAATTGCTATAAATTTGAATAGTTTTATCAACCTATATGTTTTTGCTCGGCACACTACTGGTCCAAGTTGGCACAAATTTGCATCAGGGCGTACAACGTGGGAATAAGCGTCTTTGAGCATTGGCCTAAGGCTTCTTTAAAGGTCGATGGAGCCAAAGCATTGCCCGACCACGTGTTTCTCCAAACCTCAACTCAGATTCAAAGTTTCCGTCGGAAGAATTTCGGAATGAAGGGCTAGGGTTTGTTCAAAAACCCTCAAATCATTTGAGTTCATAACCAGGTATGCTGGAAAAAGTTTCGTGAGATGCCCTTGTTTAAATCGGATTTCAGGAATGAACGAAACTTATGCTAGGGATGGATAGCACTAAACTGTGGACAATTTTTCTCTCACTCTGATTGCTTTCGTGGCATCAAAGGTGGATGAATATACCCACCTTCGACGCAATCTACATAATGAAATCAGGAAATCTATCGTTCGTAAACCTCTTCGAGGGGATATGCTACTAAATCGAGATAGGGCCATGCTTCAGCCGTTTGTAGCCGAAAGCTTTCACAACATGTAACTTCAAGTGTAGATGACGCCGGATTTGATATCACAGTAGATGGACTCTGGGGGAAAAGGTACATCAGAGCGTATTTTAAAGTTAAAAACTTCAACCCATTGACCAAATCCATTATAGAAGGCTTTCCTTCATTGCTCCTTTTTTATGCGCATGTGATATTGAAAGTAATCTTGGTCCATCTGATGGCGCCCTCACAATTTACCAGATTTGTTAAGACTGCGGATGTCTGTGTTGGCTCTTCTCCTGCTCTCTCGGGTTTGACCACCGGTATCTATGATGCTTCCACGCGATCACAACGAGTTGAAAACGATCGCTTCTTTGCTGATTTTCGTGGCTGGAAAAACAGCTCTGACTCCTGGGTCAACTTGGATCAAATTTTCCGACTCCCCAGTGGATATGCTCCTATAGGCCGGAATTCTCGCGGCCCAATCTGCCCACTTGCATCTGCTGTCTCCAGCCATATCTCCGTCAGTTTAGCGAGTTCTCGTTCCCCGGATGCTCTTGTTAGTTCTGGCCTCCCTCAGCGATGTCCAGTATGACAATATCGTCTGAGCCCACTGACTTCCTCGAAAGCGCCGTACCTGATCTTTCTGATGTCATGTCTTCGAGAGGAGTTGATACGATCCGTTTGGTCTCGATTTGTTTTCGTAAGGAGTGGTCTGAACTCATTGGCAACACTCTGGACATCTGCACCTTAGCATAAGCCAACATAAAAACTGGACTCGGCTGTTCATGCTCCCTAAAAGTATCATGAAAGCTCCTTCCCGCGGAGGCAAGTCTCACGTCGCAAATAACTGCAAAGGCATTCGCCAATGAATCAAGTCCTGGAAGGAGTAAAAACTCGGACCTCTGGTCTAGAGCTATTAAAAGACCTAAAGAGCGAACGAAGCAAAGAATAAAATTTCTTCAGGCTTTAATGCCCGCAGAGCTAAAGAGCTAGCAAGTATAGGTCATTTCGGGAGAGCAGCTAAAGCCCTGTGATCTGAAGGCCTCGTGTCCAAAATTCAGGACATTCGCAGTCTTCACCTTCCTGCAGACACTCGAGTTCTTTTGTTCTTGGAGTACTGGCCGCCCGGCTGCTTTCGAGGTCACCGAGACATCCCCGCTGCAGTTATCTCTACTCTAACGTGCGGCGGAGACTTTCATCCCATTAACAGTCAAAAGAAATCACATTCATCCCGTTAGCAATCAAAACGTTCGGGGTTCGGTCCGCTTTGGCTGTCAAAACCCTCAAACACTTTCGCTATTCGCACTGACCCCAGACGTCCATATTTCCGGGTTATTTCAGTGCGCCTCCTCAAAAGCCTCTCCGTGTGCCTCATGAGAGGAAACGCCAGTATGATCGTCAGTCGCGCCGTCTAGCCTAGTGTAATTTATTTCTCTTTTTCTTTTTTCTTTTCCTTCCCTCATCTGGTGCTCTTTTCTTCCATGCTGGTGCTATTTCATTCATATTTTTAATTGCATTTGATTTTTATTTGAGTTTTTTGATTTTTTTTTAAATTCATTAGTTGTTTTGGTTATTCTTTGATTTCAAAATTTCAGCTTGAAGACTACCTCAAAAACCACGAAAGTATGGACACAAAGCGAAAGAAATACTAGCAAAGTAACTAAGCGACAAAAGACTTGAGGCTGATTAGGACACAATGTTTTTTGAAAACAACCAATTTAAGCTTTTGTAATCGATTGGTTTTTTCTAATCAGTCTTTTCCAAAAACTTCTTGCGAATGTCTTGACTTTTTAAATTAATCAACCTAAAAATTTGAATTTTTTGCATCACCAGTTATTGAAATTCAGCTACAAGAGCTACTTCTATAATTTATTTGGCAATAAGCAATATCAATTTGTTCAGTTATTGCAATTAAATATTCATTCATTCGGTTCTTTACAGAACCTCATATAAATAGTCTTATTTATCCCAATCGTTTATCATTACCGATATTTCTACAGCCTGCTCCATTTCTATAGCCTGCGTAACACCAAGTTTTACCTGGTCATGGATTAACTGCAAATTGAGTGCCTTCCTCTGCCAAAATTTGATCTCGACGTACGGTGTGGGTTCCTTATCCTCGAGAAGGGGCTGGGAAGAGTCTGTACAAAGGACACTGTACAGCTGATGCGACCATCCTATCACCGTTGACTCAATTCTGTGTATCAGGGTCCTGTCAGAGTCCCTAAATTTGTACACACAATTTGCCTAAGTTGTTTTGAAGTTACAGCTCGAAGTATCCAAACTGAGTTTTAGCAAATTATCAGAAAAAATTCTAAATCATATTAGCTTCAAAATCGAAAAAAAACTATAGAATCTGGCAATTCAGATCTTAAAATGGGACTACAAAACTATAGTATCTTCGTATTGTTTGTACTAATTGGCCAAGTTATGATCAATTTCATTTTAATTGTGTCTAACGTGAGATTATTGTACTGAATGTTGCGGTGATTCAAGTTCTCGATCCCGAGCGGCTGTGTCAACACTGTTTGATCAAGAATCAACCCTGTCACCACATAAATTCTATTATTCAACTGGTGCGTGTGGTCGATGAGATCCCTTGAGACTACTTTCGGCCATCGAAGATGGTTAGAGTTGTTTGATATCATTGGCATGTACATCTAAGACAACGATAATCAATGGTTAAAGAATCGGTTTTCATATGACATAACTTTCTGCAGAAATCATATTAATCACAGAAGAGTTTTTTTTTAAATAGCTTGTCGTGGGCAAAAGTGTAAGCTAAATTATAAGCTCAATTTAGAGAAAACTGGACTCACACGCTGAGATGTGACTGCCAACTGATTCAGAACGCTTGTAGAAAGTTCTCCGTATCTCAGGTAAAGTTTGAAGTCTTCTTTTGGAACAACGGTATTTGGACGCCTCTTAAAGAAAAACACCGATTTGTGAGATTTGATTTTGTCCAATGAAGGCCAACCAAAGTGAATTTGGGGCTGTGGAGTACCAGCAGGTAAGCTGAGCACCATGACATTATACTCCTGGCGATCGACAAACTTTAAAAGAGTATCCTTAAACTCGTCTGATCCAACTTTCAACGAGTTTATCCTAAAGCACTGGCAGGCGTATTCCGTAATGAACTCCGCCCGCATGTCTGGCTCAGGAACAGTGGAAGCAACATCATCGTCAGTCATTATACCGAAAAATCTGAACATTTTATCAAACCTTAGTTTTTATTATCAGAAAAATAAAAGTGGTGAAAACCAAAAACTTTAAATTAGATCAACAACCAACAGGCAGCAAGATCAAATTAAAATTTTACCTGAGTATCAAACATTTGCAAATTATCAGAGAATAGCGCAAGAAATTAATTTCAAACTTTTAATGCATTATATAGAATTAAATTATGTAACTAACCTTTTGAACAAATAGAAATTTGTAGTAATTTTATCTGTCTATTCTTGGGGAAATAATTAAGTGGTTATTTATGTTTAAAAAAAATCAATTTTGACATAAAATTGATTTTCTCATCAATTGTCGTGCTGATTTTTACTCTAAGCCGACATGACTGTAAAAAATTGACGTATTCGAAAACTCTCAGTCCAAAGGACTTTTCTCAAGTTTTTTTTTTATTTATAAAAAGGATGAAAGAATAAAAAACCTCAACGAGTGATTCATCATCATGGAGAATCGTTAAGAAATCTCGAGTCAAAAATATGAATAAATCTTTTTTCGTTGTTTGCGTTTCACACTGACTCATTGAGCATGTCATTCATTCTTAAACTATAATAGGCTACTAATAAAAAGTGACTTGCGAAACTTTTGAAATTTAGGTACTTTAAATCTGTAGAACATCAGTATATAATTATTATTGCTTTTTGGATTGGAAATCTAATTGAATCTTAATATTAAGAAATCCGTAAACTTATTGGTACTTTCAGAATGCAAGCGATTAAATGCGTTGTCGTTGGAGATGGTGCTGTCGGAAAGACTTGTCTGTTGATTTCGTATACAACTAATGCGTTCCCAGGCGAGTATATACCTACGGTGTTTGACAATTACTCTGCAAATGTGATGGTCGATGGAAAACCAGTGAATCTGGGTCTCTGGGATACAGCCGGGCAAGAAGATTATGACAGGTTGCGTCCGTTGTCGTATCCGCAAACCGATGTGTTCCTGATATGCTTCTCACTGGTATCTCAAATATCTTTTGAAAATGTTCGGGCTAAATGGTATCCAGAGGTAATTCATTACTGTCCAAAAACGCCTATGATACTTGTAGGCACGAAATTGGACTTGCGAGATGTTTCCAGTGGCGAGCAGACAAGAGATAGATCGAGATCTTCGCATGTGACTACCGCACAAGGGCTTCAAATGGCTAAGGAAATCAAAGCAGCTAAATATTTGGAGTGTTCTGCCTTAAATCAGAAAGGATTGAAGAATGTTTTTGACGAAGCCATCAGGGCTGTGCTGATTCCAGTGAAGAAAGAGAAAAGGAAATGTTTTGTTTTGTAATTTATAACTCGGAACTCTTCATGATCATTTCTCCTCTTCTGTAACCAATCATCGGCTCAAAAGTTTCAATAACTTGGAAACAAAATTTCTCCCTTAATTTATTTTTCTCCCTTGATTGTAAGTGGTTTTATTGAATTTTAAAAGGGTGCAGTTACCCTTCTGTCTTAAATGTCGATGAATTGTGTTTGTGAGTGGAGACATTTAGAAGAAATGATCAAATTTCTATACATTTAAAATACACATAAATAAAGTTTCATTTGATTTAAATCTACTATGTGAGATGTTATTAGTATTCTAAAACAACTCTATCAGTTCTGAAAGACGAGTAGTTAATTCACTTTTTCATTTAATCGTTTTCAAAATATTGACAAAGATGGCAATCTATCTATTTATTTTAAGTAGTTAGAAGTCAATAAAATTTAATTAAAATAAATAATACGAACGTTTTTGCTATAACTAGCATCATCAGGTATGTGTTTACAAATAGAACGATTTTTACAAGCAAAATGATTATCATTTATGTTTATGGGTATCTTAGATTATTACATAGTTGATAAACGATTTTTTAGAAATTTCGTGGTGGGTGATGTTTTGTTCACCAAAACATGTCCGAATTTTTTTCACTTTTTAACCAGTTCTACGGTCAAATTATTATATTAAACTAACGGTCAAATTATTATATTAAACTAGTTTTGTATGTTGTAATTCGAAAAAAAAACAAATTCGAGTCGAGCCAGAAAAAACTGATTCATGTGCTAGAAAAAACTGACTTATGGGTACGAAAAATTGATCCCGAGCGAAAAAAATATTCGATCAGAAAAAAAACAGAGCAGCAATGACCATGGAAACCGAAGAAAACGCAAATAAAAACATATTAGTGTTCTTTATACAAAACATCTGTAAACTTATTTTTGTATCAAAAATTTTTCTTCGGTTTCATTGGCAGGCTCTTACATCTGGAACTCTCTAGATAGGCGCAAAATTCGCACATAATTATCACTTAATGAAAAATTTTAAAAAAATAAACGGGCCAGAAGACTGCCCCTATGGCCCAGCCCTCTGACTTGTACCCATCTGCCAGAAAAAACTGACACATGGGTACGAAAAAATATCTCCAAAATTTTTTTTTTTCATAATTGATCCAGAGCGAAAAAAACTTTAATCAGAAAAGAAAACAGAGCAGCAATAGACATGGAAACCGAAGAAAACACAAAAAAAAAAACATATTAGTGTTTTTTATACAAAACTGGGCGTTTACCCGCGGGCTTATAAAATGCCATACATACAAAATAACCTAAACAAATTTACAATGACGCCAGATACACAGAAAAGCGTTACCGGATTTGCATAGAACAGAAAAAACACTCATGAGCAGTACCGGGACAGGAGGAGGGTGGAGTTCCCTTTTTGCAGGACAACTAACAGCTGTTGCATAAGATAGCAAGCAGCTTGCCCGGGGTCGGCACAGGCAGAGCGCGCTGCTGCCATCGAAGCAATGCGACAAATGGTTTTAGCAGCAATGGGCGACCACCCGCCAAGGGCCTCTGCCAGCTTCTTCGCACGCGGAAAAGTGCTTTGTGAACTTTCGCTCGTCGGATACTTCGAGGGCGTGACCGGCACTAGTTCCAGCACTTTGCAAAGTAAATGACTGCAGGGAACTAATGACGGTCATCTACAAGGAGCGGCTGGACGACCTCGGGACCAACAGGGGAGATAAATGTCTCCCGGGCGAGAGCAAGAAGAAGTGAGATTGGCTTTTTCTAAAACTTTTTCTGTCACCACGGGGGAGAGCTGCCTTAGCGGCGCTGTTGAAAACGACATCGCGCAGTCTGTCATGGCGCGATATGCGGTCTTCGTCGGCTGCGCAAGCGAGGGCGTGATCGCCAAACGTATCTAGAGTCCTGGAACATTTCGGGCACGTAGACGACTCGCTGTTGAGTAGGGGAACTCCGAGACGATAGCAAACTGCAAACCGAAACCCTAGCGCCTTCAGAGGGACTGCCGAGCGCCAGTCACCACTGTTGGGGAGCGAACAGGAGAGCAGTCTGGCTCTGTCTCGGGGCGTAGAGGCGGATGACGTGAGCTCTGACCAAGACTTGGAATCAAGTAGGCTTGAAAGTTTCATTTGTGATTTGGGGGCCATTAAAAGAATGTCAGCGTTGTCACTGAAAAACTCGAGGGAGGACGAACAATTCAACACGGTGGAGGGCACCGTGGTGTTGTGAAAGATCCGGTCAGAGAGATATTTGGTGTCAATGTAGCACCCGAGGAAGGCCACTGGGGCAATCGAAGAAGAAATTGAAGCCCGAGGCCACCTTTAGGCACAGGCAGTGAACACTCCAGGCGCTGAGACGGCGACAGGGCTGAACCAGTAATAGAATCGAGACATAAGTGAACGGCATTGTCAAATTGAGCTAGACAGTTGCTAATGGAGAAGGGATCGCAAGTCCGCATGCTGAATGTGGTTTTGGGAAGAGCTGCGCAGCTTCTCAAAAGATGTAATTCCAACTGAGGATCTTCCAAGCGACCGATGGATTCCATAAGGTTTTCTACTCTTTTCAGAAACAGGGCTTGGATAAAGTCGTCGTTAGTCGAAATGGCAGCGCCCAGGTTCTTCAAACCACTGCTCCGAACGGTAATGACATTAGGAATAGCACTAAAATCCAGGTTGGGGTTGGGAGAACAAGCTTCACACTTCTCAACGCTGACCTCCAAGCCGACTTAAGCCATAGACGAAACCAAATGCGGAAAAACCTGAGCAAAAAGATTAACATCGCCGACAAGGGAACCATCGTCAAGATACGAGACTTTACAGGCGAGATCTGGAAATTGGTTCTTAAGAGCTACAATGATGGGATGGATAGTAACGGCAAACAAGAGAGGAGCCAGTGGGTCACCTTGCTGGAAATCCCACGCGCGGATAGCACACCGGAATTATCGAATTTCAGCCAGGATGGTTGGCTGTAGCCGAACTCGACCCACCGGAGAAACTTTGGAAACTGGTAGGCAACCTGCCGAAGAATAGAGGACCGGTCGTGGGTGTTAAAGGCGTTTTTCAGATGGACCTGTAGAATAGCCAAAGAAGTAGTGTCACCCACGGAAGCAACGTGCCCGTTCTGCGCGTGAGAAACGGCTTCACAGCCGCCAGGAACGCCCACTCCGACCTGAAAAGGAACGAGCAAAGAGGCGGCTTTCTGTCTAGAAAAACGACAAAGGCACTTGGCAACAAGTCTGCGCAAGATCTAACCAACTGCTATGGGTCTTATGCCACCATCTTTTTTCTTCAGCGCAAGAAGACTGGCTCCGCATAAGTAGGGAGCAATGGAGGTAGCAGCCTCACCACGACAGAACATCTCTAATCTTTTTTTTGTATCAAACATTTTTCTGCAAAATTACAAGTCAAAAAAAAGTTAACGGGTCAGAAGGCTGGCCCTATGGCTCAGCCCTGACTTGTACACATATGCCAGAAAAACTGCCACATGGCTACGAAAAAAATTCTTCAAAAAAACTTAAAAAGTATCCAGTGGGGAAAAAAATTGATCAGACAAGTAAACAGTGCAGCAAGAGGCATAGAAACTTAAGAAAACACAAAAATCAATAAATAAGTGTTCTTTAAGCAAAACATCTGTGAATTTGTTTTTGTATCAAAAATTTTTCTGAAAAATTAATTGTGTTCATTGGCCAGTTCTTAGCTCTGGAGTTCTTTAGATAGGCGCAAAATGTCGCACACAATTATCACCAGATGAAAAAGTCAAAAAAATAAAAGGGCCAGAAGGCTTGGCCCTATGGCTCAGCCCTCTGACTTGTACCCATATGCCAGAAAAAACTCACACATGGGTACAAAAATAAACTTCAAAAAAAATTTCAAAAAAATGAAGGTCCAGAGGGAAAAAAACTTTGATCAAAAAAGAAAAAAGAGCAGTAAGAGGCATGGAAACCTAATAAAACACAAAAAACAACGTTCATTATACAAAACATCTGTAAACTTGTTTTTGTATCAAAACTTTTTCTTGAAAAATGACAAGTGTTCATTAACCAGCTCTTAGCTCTGGAACTCTCTAGATAGGCGCAAAATGTCGCTCACAATTATCACTTAATGAAAAAGTTTTTTAAATAAACGGGCCAGAAGACTGGCCCAGCCATCTTGACTTGTACCCGTCTGCCAGGAAAAACTGACACATAGGTACGAAAAAAAAACAACTTTAAAGTTTTGTTTTACAAAACTGATCCAGAGCGAAAAAACTTCGATCAGAAAAGAGAACTGAGCAGCAATAAACATGGAAACCGAAGAAAACGCAAAAAACAAGATAATAGTGTTCTTTATACAAAACATCTGTAATCTTGTTTTTGAATCTAAAATTTTTCTTAAAAGTTTCAAGTGTTCATTGGCAAGCCCTTAGATCTGGAACTCTCTAGATAGGCGCAAAATTCGCACATAATTATCACTTAATGAAAAATTAAAAAAAAATAAACGGGCCAGAAGACTGCCCCTATGGCCCAGCCCTCTGACTTGTACCCATCTGCCAGAAAAAACTGACACATGGGTACGAAAAAATATCTCCAAAATTTTTTTTTTCATAATTGATCCAGAGCGAAAAAAACTTTAATCAGAAAAGAAAACAGAGCAGCAATAGACATGAAACCGAAGAAAGCAAAAAAACAACAATAGTGTTCTTTATACAAAACATCTCTAAACTTGTTTTTTGTATCAAACATTTTTTTTCTTAAAAATTACAAGACCAAAAAAATTAACGGGCCACATGGCTGGCCCTAAGGCTCAGCCATCTGACTTGTACCCATATGCCAGAAAAAACTGACACATGGGTACGAAAATAATCTTCGAAATTTTTTTAAAAAAAAAAAGATCCAGAGGGAAAAAAAACGTTGATCAGAAAAGAAAACAGCAGTAATAGGCATGGAAACCTAATAAAACACGAAAAACAACATATTAGTGTTCTTATGCAAAACATCTGTAAACTTGTTTTTGTATCAAAAATTTTACTAAAGTTACCAGTGTGCATTGGCCAGCTCTTAGCTCTGCAACTCTCCAGATATGCGCAAAATGTACATAGTTATCACTTACTGAAAAAGCCAAAAAAATTAAAAGGGCCAGAAAGATCGCCCTATGGCTCAGCCCTCTGACTTGTACCCATATGCCAGAAAAACTGACACGTGGATACGAAAAAATTTCTTCAAAAATATTTTTAAAAAAATATCCAGAGGGGGAAAACTTTGATCAGACAAGAAAACAGTGCAGCAATAGGCATAGGAACCTAATAAAACACAAAAAACAACATATTAGTGCTCGTTATACAAAACATCTGTAAACTTGTTTTTGTATCAAATTTAA